TGTACTTCGGTTTACCTCCCTCGAAACGAAGCAGGCGGGATACCGAACCCAGTCAGAGCGGGTGGGTGTGCACTCAAGCGTAACGGCTGGTTCATTAGCAGATGCTGCCTTCACGGCTTATTGTGTGTATATATATAGAGATGTTGGGTTTTGTAATTACATGATCAGTTTTTGTGTATAACATTTTGCAATCAACAGACATCATAACATGTCATGTGTTCAAGTATCACACCTGCCTGTCTGTGTAATTACATAATGTGACAGAGACCGAACTCGGGCCATAAATCAATGCGTTTTGTTTATGGTGTATAGCCTGATTGGTGTTAAGTTCAAATTGCATGTGGTCAGTGATCGCAGTTGTGTACTGAATATTGTCATTAGCAGACAGGCAGGCAGACACACAGGTGTCAATAAAACAAGACATTGACATCTATATCACAGTTAGAAATTGTGTCAACGCTAAATAATGACATTGCTTTTAAGTATCGAACTGAGAAAGTGACTCGGTAAGAAGAACGTGTGGTGAAATAGACAAATGAAATTATATAAACAGTTTATTTACTGTCATAACATATAAAAAAGCTCGCGCCTGTGAGATATCAAGAAAACATTATGAAAATAGCTCACACCAAAGCCTTCACCGAGTTTTCACCAGACAGCCCGCTTCCAAGTTGCGCGAACCTATTTCACTGCGCACATGCCATGAGCGCAGCCCAGCTGTTGAAACCCGTTTTCCCCAGAAAAGTCTGGGGAAATTTAGTGAAACGTTTGAACTCCGATTTCGCGCGTTTTTTTTCATCGCGTTATTTTTTAACTTTATAACTTGAATTTGCATTTTTGATGATTTGTTTCGGTAAGTCCATACCGAAAGGTATCAGAATCTGCAAAGTTGTGTTTTACGTTGCATGTGACCTTTAAGTTATGTGACATTTAAAGTGTGGCCAATATTTGCTGTGACATTTGAATGTGTGTCGTATATGATACGTCAGGTGTGATCAGGGTGATTTCAACATGATGGTATTTAACCTTCAATTAATCTGCTGCCAAGACACTTTACACGACACGCAATGAAACATTGTCACACGCATTACTCCAAACAGTCTAAAAGTTATGCTCAAAATGCATTACAATCTGCCTTGGCCGAAGGAAAAGGAGCCCGCTGTCGATGGTAGTCCACCACGTAATGTTTGAGTCAGTCTTGATCAGTCCATGTAACAAGTGTTCCTTGCTGTATACAGGTCGGAACTGCCGGCAATATAATGGGTGTCACTATATATGTTGCCTCTATTTGGAAACCGGTTGATTAATGAGTCGGCGGACTTGGGTTTACAGATTGAAGATAATGGGTGAAATATGCGGCGTTAAACAATCGATACGGTTCTCTGCTTTCAGTCGGGGTATAGTAGTCGTAATGTCTCCAGGCCTTTTGCTGTCATTGTCTTCGTAAAATGTTTCCTACGAAGACAAACGGTCTAGTTTCTAGGGTTGAAATCGTCATTTCCAAACTACATTAAACTTCTTTAACAAATTTCTGTATTTAAATCAGTATTATCACTGCATGGCTTCAAACGAAAACCAACACATGTATAATCATTTGAATGTGACCTCTCCACTTTAACAAGCGGTTACAGGGCACCTAATTCCCTGTGTCGAATGACGCAGAGAGGCGGAGGTAATTTGGCTAAATATTACACAATGAAACTGACCCGACTCCGGTTGGAGGAAGGGTTTACCCAATCGATGCTAATTATCGTGGAGTCGTTGGGCTCTCGAAGGGGACCTATACGTGTCATAAAGTCGTCTTTAGTAGATCCGCTGACCGCCATGTAAGCAGCGCCAACGACGGGACAGACTGTTTTTGAGCTTTCTAAGCTAAATTCATAATAACAAATAACACGAAGAGGTAGACAAAGCCAGAGCTGCGACGTAATTCCAAATGCTGTACTTAAACATTCCTTTCAATCACAATACTACTTTCGACATAAACGTATACATACTGGACAAAATAAGTTAGGGATATTTATATTCTTATGATTGATATTTTATCAGTGTGTCAATGAATAAATAAATCATTATTCATAATGTCAAAATTTACATATATCCCTAACTATTTGTGTCCAGCATAAATTGAAAACAAACCAGATTCTGTAGTTCACTACTTTTTTATTTAGCAAAAATATGTTCCAAAATTTGGTGAGAGTGAAGATGACATAAGTGCTACAACTGGACATTAGAATAAATAGGTAGTATAGGGTATCCAGACATTCCCTTGAGACAGGAATAGCTGTGACATTTAGCCTATGTGTGTCCACAACAGGGAGTCTTGTTGTTACAGAACACCCTGTAGAATCTCTATAGATGTGGTATAACAGTGATATAGCCTTAGTTGCTTTCAGTATTCCAGTGTGAGTTGCATTCATGCCCTTAATCTATATTCTAGCCATTTCCATTACATCAGCAATTAGCGATCTATAAGTTCAATGACAGAGTAAGACCAATAAAGAATTTAACCAAGTGTTAACTTCAGAAGTAAAAACATTTTGCGGTAAGTAAAACGTTTTAGATAGTATCACTTCTGCTACCATTCCCAGTCATAACAAATATATTTAATAAATATCCTAGGGACATCTAAAACCAAAATAACCAGCAGATATGGCATATAACGCCGCGAGAAAGTGCATGCTCCTATTCCCTAAAAACCCTAACTTCACTATGGTTTGTGCTTTAATGGGCCAATCAGTGCAGTCACCCAGTTGGTCTCCCTAAGCCATTAGACCTAAATTGCCTCAATTAGTGATTCATTAATTAACCCTACATTACTATGTCAGGTCACTGCCTTATGAAACCTAATTACTGCCACTTGGAAAGTCAAACATAATCCAAGTATTCAGAATCTGTACAAAGGACACTTTCAGACATAAGCCTAATTATAGCCAATATCAAATTAAACTGATATGCCACATGATATGCTGCAAGTACCTACAAATGAGTGATTTTCAAATTCAACACATCTATGGAGTATATGCGCAACCTTTCACCAATACCAGAGCTTGAAAGTCATGTTTTCAGCATAGTCAGCATTATTTCAGCTAAATCATGACTTTCTCAGCAATGGCAACAGGAAAATCTATTTTCAGCTGAAAACTTAACATTGTGTCATTGAATGGGGATTGATTCACAGAATTGATGAATTTGAAATAAAATCTGCGGAAATCTGCAGATCAGCTGAAAACTGCCATGACCGCTTTCTGAAAAGTCTAACTGGACAAAGGACTGAAAACATAGGGGTAGTCATATACCAGCACAGAGTAGGAACTATACAGGGTGTGATCAAGTCCTGCACATCTCTTACACTCCAACTGCCAGTATTCCTTGACAGTTGCCTCAAGTCAGTTCTCAGTTTTCAAAACCCTAGTTTAATTATTTAGAAATGTAATGGATGTTCATATACAACTTATCCTAATAACCAAACTACTGTATTAACTGATCCTAAATATCACTTTAGCTTTTGGAACTCTTTCAAATCATCTGAAACAAAGTTTTTATGAAATATTCAAAATCATTGATTTTGTATTCATTAAATGATAAATATTAAATTCCACTGGTATAAAAATCATATTAACCATGGTATACAGCATGAGATTCTATTTACATCATGATTTAAACTGATTACACAAACTCAGTTCTGATTATAAGGAATCTGATATATGAGATCATCCCCAGCAAATGGTGGCCATCAATCTGTTGAGTGACATCTTAACCTCTGGCACAGCCAACATAAGACACTGATAGGGTTGACTTAAGTAATTCTGGCTCAACAACATACAATTAATGTTATTCACTTAACTTTGGTCTCAATCAATAATGGAACAGACTCCCTGAAGATATAGAACCACTAGCATGGCTTGTGTTGACAACGGGCTACAGTGGCTGAGGTATACAATTCCTAACATGGACATTACATTAGCGTCCCTAATTGCTGTAGTAAGGTGTCAGTGTGGGAAGTGCTGGCCATCTCCATACGCCAGTATTACTCATGTATATTAAATGGTTTAGCCTGTTAATGCATGCAACCTCCCTGTAGGAGTCATCCAATCACAACAGATGCCATTCTACATCACCATCTCATTAGCATAATCATCATTTAGTTGGATGTATAAAGCAGCGTTGTGAATTATTTTCATTCTAAAATGTTTGTTTGAATTATTCTCAGTTGACAGTATAATGTCCTGTATGATCCAGTATGCTGGTATGTGGAGTATGGTATTGCCAACTACATAAGCACTGCTGGAACGTTAGGCCCAAACTTTTGACTAGTTTCAAATGAATTTGCCAGAAACAATTGTCTCATATTTCGTGGTGCTCAGAGTGGGATCTTCAGTGTACTGGACTGTGAAGTCATATTAAAGGTGCAAAACTGGGAGTTGTTGTTTTGACACAAATATACTAATCAAAACAAGTTAAGAAAACCCCCAACTGGTATGGCTGCTGTGTTGCAATACTGCCCTGCCATGACTGATTATCTATAATCATATGAAACATCTGGGTATTCTTAACCTCTTTTGAGTAGTGTATGATATGTATTACTTCACACTGTGCGAACGTTTCTGGTAACAATGAACTGATGATCAGTATCAGCTTTGATAGATCCAATCCATTATCATCAGTAATATATAGACACACAATCTTTACTGATGCCAAATTACTCATCAAATGCTCCTGCATGACAAAGCGTGTATGTTTAGCCTAAAAACTTCATCAGAAAAAAGCCAAAGGGAAACAGAGGACCACATATTGATCTTGCACCTTTAATATTACCATCTCGAGGGCATTTGTTTTGCATTATCCGATATTGGCATCCACTGGCACAGTGTCATTGTCTGTTTGAAGGTCCAGCACAAGAAAACAAGAACCTGGCAAACAGAATCAGAAGCACAAATTCAAGAAAAGAAATGTCAGACAACCATAAAAGGAGTAAGATAAGACATGTTGACCACGAGTGAAGAATAAAGGCTGTTTAATAATATGTAGTGACATTGTTTTTCTGTGATTCAGTACCACAGTGTGTGTCGGGTTCAGGACAAAAATAATACCCCACACCTCAGTGTTGAATACAGATTATCTTACACGATCTTCACAATACATAAGGCAGGGACACAATATACACGTTACCATGGTTATACAGATGCAAACATTTGTACAGCAAAATTTACACATATCATGGCATGTCTGAGAGATGTCTCATAAATTTCTATTATTGCTGACTTGGCAGGAAAGAATGTAAATCCTCAGTACTGAAATAATTTTAGTTAACGTAATCATATCAATTAAAAACTGGAGTTTTAAAATGTTGATAAAGAGAATTGTTATCAATATCTTTCACACAAGAATACCAGAATATCTACTCAGAACAAATTCTGTTATCCATCTTTCAATCAATTAAGTACATCTATAAATCTGAGACATAAAGAGCATTGATATGTACATGAATTGTCACGGACATCCTATATCTACAAGTATTATTTACTGACTATAAAGTTATGATGATTCAAAGTGTGCCTGATGTACAAGCCAATGTTGTCATAGTGATTCAGTACCTGCTATTCCATTTTCATAGCCTTGGAGATAAGTGAAAGGTAAGCTGGTCATTCTATGATCACGTTTTCTGCTAACAGGTATGAATGTTGTAGCGAACAGATTTGGAGAGATGGCAAATATAAGCAGACAGCTTTCAAACACAAGACCTTTCCAGGCTACATTAAGAATGAATGAAATTGACACATATATATATTTTTCTACATCAAGCTTGTGTAAACAAAATTTACATATGATAATCTTCCAGTATTAGCAACTGTACACAAGCAACTGCTACTGATGCAATCATACAATATTCCTAGATTTTAAGACAGTGTTTAATCAACTGAACATTGTTGGAAAGTACTTCAAACCTGGGTCAAATTTGGAAAATTCACAAGAGACACAAATGTAAAAGACTGAGTATGAGCTAGAACAGAATAAGGGACAGCCGAGATTCAATTCATGGAGAGAGATTGTTTCTTTCAACACTCGAACCATTGGGTAACCATGTTTGAGGATGTAACTCCTTAAATGACCTTGGGTTGTACGAAACACATTTTTCAGTTTTCTCTCCATGACTTGTTCACTGAGGTCAACAAGTAGGTTGAGGTATATACTTTGACAGCTTCACCTCGAGTATAACCAGTATATACTAGAAATATGTATATAGTATGCAAATGAAAAGCTATTGAAAACAGAATTTTGAAGAATATTCACCATAACTGCTTCAACTATCCCTGGATAATGTGAGTGGTGAACAGCACTAATGAAAAGCACTCTTGAAAATTGTCCTTATCACTGAACTCTCTATCATCATGACACATGCACATAGACATGAACAGCACTCAAGTCCTGTGGTTTCATCACGTACATATTTTTCAAAGAGTTTTATTTCAGATTTATATCACATCAGTCAAAAGCACTGTGGACATTGTAACACAAACCAGGACAGTCATCAATACCGAGACCCACGGGAAGTCAGCACAGTCACTTCTACAGTGGAAGGGGAAGTGTGGGAACGCAGGTGACTACTGCAGTAGAGGTGGATGTGGGGGTGGACGCAGGCGTACACCAACCTCAACACACTGACACAAGCCCAATCTTAAGGCAACCCTGTGACCACATCTATTCCTGATATATACAACTCCAACAGCAAAGAGACAACCAGTTTTCAGTCCACTCGTCCTCATAATGATAACATCTAGCAAAATCCTTAGAAAGAGCAAGTTTCTACTAGTCCATACGATCCCTGAAATACTGGGGAGTTTGGGGAAGGACTTTGGCACTAGCACTAATTTCAAACACTGCAAACAGATGTTCAAATGTGCATGATTTTTTCATGACTGTAGCTTACCAATTACACTCATGGCTGGGATAATATTCAGGCCAAATCTGGGATAAGAAATGTTGGTACCTTTGACAACTGGGAAATACAACCTTGAGACATACTGTCCATCACACTGGCCTACCTATTCATCAATGTTTAGTTTCTGGGTTGCCCCATCTTGTCACCCTGGTGAGTTAGTAGTCCCTGTGCTGACTGTCACTGTTAAGGCCATATCATAACATCATCACTCCTAGGTCAAGTAAAATGAAGACAGGCAAAGTCTGAATTAAAATACTACAGACATGCTAGATAGATGACAATAATAACAAAGACTGAAAAGACATGACATGTCATATAAAACAAAAAGTACTTCATCAACATAGTAAGTACACAGTTGGCGATATTTTGTTCAAAATATATATCACAAGCTTTCACCAGTTGTTCACTGGGTGTTCCTGTCATGTCTCAGTACAATCAAGCACTGTTGGGGATTGAGTCATGGAGCAGAACATTGCTGGTCAACCTATTATAGGGAGGAGACCAAAAATTGAGAGTTCTTCTTTACCATTGCCTTGGATATTCATAATTAATATGACAAATTATTACCCAACAATAAAATAAAACATGCTGGCAGATATCTACATGAAAAACTTATGATACTTAGCACTGATAATTCTATGACACCCAGTCTATTACATTCCCTACACTTCACCTACAAATGCCTTGAAGATGTACTGCGTATGTGTAACCCAAAACAGATTTCATAACCTTTATGCTTTTGTGAAGATGAAGGAAAAAAATGCACAATGAACAGTATTAACATGATTAGTACTACTGTAACACTTGTTCTACAGATCAATGACAGGTGGAAGAGAGTTGACATTGAAGATGACCATCTCGAGCATCCCAACATTTACAGCCTTCTTCTCATGACCATGGAACGTTTAAATCCTCTTACACATACTGCCTTCGTACTATCCTACAAGTACAAGTATATTACTGTACGTGTTGTACACTGGTGTCTGCAAGGTGGTATATCGTATTCATGAACCCTTGTATACAAGAAAGTGGTACCTAAACTATATTTGTCCTTTATCATGTTTACAGCGACAAATACACTAATTCTGATTCTGTTGAACAGACACATTTTCTAAATCATTGCTTTTCAAGCTTTCTGATAAACAAGCTAAAGCAGTAATTACATAAAGAGAAAGTTCATCAACTGAGACAATGTCCTTCAGAAAGTAAAAATGACACAAATATTTTGCAAGTGAATTCAAGGCATCTAAGTCACACTTGTACGTAGTCTGAAGGGTATGAAATACAGTATGCAACATTAGCTATGACAGAAGTGTATTGAAGAGTGAGCTTGTGGTATAGCTATTTGAATGACAGACAAAACTAGTTCTAGCAGCCCATGTGATAACACTGGTCATATGTCATGCATATAAAGTTTGGTCCTTATACAGATACAGGTGGGTATTGATCATAATTGTTCAGCAGTGTGTGCTAGTGGAATATTTTCATATAATTTAAGAAGTTCCTAGCCTGACACAGGAGACTCAGCATGACTATTGTATGCATCCTCAATAATGAACAAATTAGGTATTGGGCTAACTTTAGGTACATACAAAAACATTACTTTAACATGCCACTTAAATATTAACCTGAAATGAAAACCAAACATGACATTATATCTTCTCACAATAACCACATACAAAATCATACTCTAACATGTATATTTCCTAATGAAGATACTGATGACATTCTAGCCCTCCTCAGGCTAGTCTGATTCCCCAAAGACCATTAATAGTTAAATGTTTCAACAAAAGAGATGAAAAATTATGTTTCACCATTCTAAATTTTGGCATATCTGCTCACATACATAACAGTGATCACAACATTATATATATATTACAGACTGTACACAAGCAAATGAACCATTTGCTATTTCTATACAATCATGTTGACTGTATTCTTCCTGTGGGCAAAGAGGGGGAAACTGGTAGGGAAGTCCATGCTACACAAGGGGAGGGTGATACATCCAGTTGTGTATGTGGATTGTTGTGGTAGAACATTCACATCACTTGGACCCCCCAAAACTTTCAACATCAGAACAACAGAATTTTGAAACTTTACAGATTCCAAAGTCTCAGGGCACTCCAGCAGTATCCAGAAATTTTTAACATTTAAACACAGAAACTGACATTAAACATAAGTAATTTTTCAAATGACATCAAGAACTGCTGCAGTTAATAGTAATCTCAGGAATTTACAAACAGCCTGAAGTTGAAAGGATTCAAACATTTACTAGGAAAGTTATCCTTGTGTATTAGACAAAACACCATAGTTAACAGTTCGAATGAAGTGAAAAGCGTCAGTCTCCTGAGTCAGATCACTCACTGTAGCGGATGCGTGGAGCACGACCCGTGTACATGAGAACCTGTCATGGACAGGACTATGTCCCTAAGTCCCTGTATTGTCAGACAACCCGTTCAACATCAGAGTTGTTTTTCAACTCTACTTCTTCAGTTGTTAGTTGAGTCTGAGTGTCAGAGACTGCCTCAGGTTCTTCGTTGGGTGTCTCCACATCATTCTCAGTTTCCGTTGCTCCCTCAATGCCCTCCTCTAGTCAATTGATAGCCAGCTCTACGTTGATGAACTGTTTTAAACGCTCTAAATACTGTCCATAAAGTTCCACATCATTGTGTCCAGCACCCTCTACCCACAGCGGTTCAACTGTGCGAGGACATCGCTCATAAATTGCAAGTCCATGAGAAAAGTCTATCACTTCATCTTCTGTCCCATGAATCACCAGCACAGGGGACGTGATTTTAGGAACTTTATCAATGCTGAAACAGAAAAAAATTGTGATGAGCCAAAATTCCATAACTACGTTACTTCTGGAAAGGACTAAAACGCAACTATATGCCATAATGACACCAATGGGTAAGACTTTGTCACTTTTATAGAAGTCTGAAAACTTCAAACTCCAGTAGTGTTGTCCACTGAAATTTGCATAAGGAAAGTGGTGTGTAGATTTCCATCAAGGACATATTAACAATGTGTTCATAAAACTATTCACTGTGTTCTGAAATTGTGTGTAATCATTATGGTCATATCATGGGGATTTCCTTCGTTTTATTGCAAATATCTCAGAGTATGGCATATATACAAATTTGTTTCCACATAGTATCATCAAATATTACTGGAAATTAAACCACACCCTGGGTCTTGCTGCTTCATAAATGACATAAATATATTTTCCTTATCCAGCTACACAAGGCCATGACAACCAAGCCTACTTCATCATCAGAAAGGAATGTGGTGGGACATGGCTGATGGTTTGGTTTACCCAGAAATAATGCAGATAAACTGGTTACTAACCACTATTACTGACACGGTCCATAGGGAGTGAGTTGAGCTTAAAACCTCTCTGAACATGTTATAGCATAGTTCGTAGTTCAGTTACATCACGGTGTGTCAACTGCATGGGAAAAAAGCCTGATGTACTCTTAGTGATGAACACTTAGCAGAACAGTGTTAGAAACCTTTGAAAATTTCCCACTAGACCACAGATCAGTGAGTGGACAATAATTAGGGGTCATGTCTGTACTTCACTGGTCCAAAATAATATTTGTAGATTTAATTAACTATCAATACTTTTATATTCAGTGAACTTTTAACATCTTTTAAATTTACTACTACCTTTTACAGTGATTCTGAGTAATCAGAGTAATGACAGACTGTTAATGTGGTGTTTTTATTAATTCATTAGATTATTAAACAAACTAGTGTTGTGAATATAACAGCATATATTATCTCTGGTATCAGGTTTTACCTAATCACTGGCCACCAGGACTAGGGGTGGGAGATAATACTGGTTAACCAGTATATTGCAATTCGAACCTCACAATACGATATATTGCGGTACACTTTTCGCGAACCGGTTCACCCGATAATATCGGCAATTTCCTTGACCATGATCGGTAATTTCCGTGATGTAGTCAAAAATACTAATAACATTTGAACTTCCTTATAGTATTATACATGAATATTTTTGAGAATGTTTAATGGTCATGTAATCTCATTTGCATGACTTTTAATCCATATAAATAAAAAAAATAGATTGGTACCAGCACTCGTTATATTCAATTTGGAAAAGATTTCATTGATCTCTTGTACAATCACATCTGAGTCCTGACAGTGGCCAGTGGCCAGTGGCATTGTTTCAAAAGAAAGGAAACAATAATTTCATTATCTTAAACCACACTTTCACAATATATTGCAGTACATACTGCAATACGCCAACACATATATCGCAATATGAAAATTTTGGCAATACCCAACCCTAAGTTGGCCTAACCAGGACCACTGCAAACCTATCTTTTAGGTCCTGATGAATTTTTACTACACAGGGACCACAGGACCAGCATAAATTTTGCACACTGGTAGAAAACACAAGCATGGGTACAGTTTGGACAAACAAAATCAAAAGCCAAGTCATTCTGAGAGTAAAGGAGTGAACGAATGCAGTTTTATGCCAATTTATCAACATTCCTACAATATCATGGCAAGAGACACCATAAATGGGTTCTACACATCGTACCCACGTGGGAAATCAAGCATATTTGATAGTAAATAGCCTATTCACTACTGTAATCTTTTTGATGGCACTTAGAACAGTATCTAATAAACATAACGGATGTTCACTTTGAAGATATTCAGAAAATATACCAATTTCAAGTACGAAAGGTGATCAAATTCCAAGTGCATTCCAAAATCTGCCTCCTATGTAATAATTGAGGCATAACACAATACCACATGTTATGCATGTGAGAACAAACTGAGAAAAAGCTATTGTAATTGATATCAGTACCTGCCACACAATTATGCATTCAAGAATGTGATCTCATTGATAAACATTGAAAACAACTACTAAGGCTTATGGCCCTCATTGCAATGGCACTGAGCAAGGTCAAGGTAATTAGCATGATTAACATGATTAATGGCTAAGGTTGATGACGAATTACTTGTAATTATATGCTTCATAATGCTCAGAGCCCTGCTGTTTTCACAGCAATATGAATTTGAAATATTTTCAGGCACAAAAGTAGAAAATGGAATGAATAGGCACTAAAAAATAACATATTGTGTGGTCATTGTGACTCAAGACTTGTATAGAATAACTAATATGCAAGCAATACAATCAATATGCACATTTGATATGGACATCATAGAAGCATTAAGTTATCAGAATTATTTGCTGCTATTACCATGATTTAATAGATTTTCATAGTTAACATCAATTGCCGTATTATTCATCAATTAAGATGATGGGAAGTAATTTGGGGTCTATAACACCATCAAATTTTAACCCTAACCCTAAACATAAATATTTGCAACTTTTGCTTGTTCAACACCTTATCTAGGTATTACTTAGGTACATAATATTTAATACTTCCAGCCAAAGATTACATTTGATAACATATCAAGGCAGGGAGACAGATGGTGGTTTACACTGGTTTACTAGATCATGTTACACACTTTTGGTCTTAGTGGTATATAATTATTAATTCTTTATGGTTTTCTTTTCTACTTTTTCCAACACATTTATATTGTATTACATTATTCATAAAGAGTATTTGCAAGTGTCATATAAGTAATGCTCCAAATGTCTAAGTGATTTCCATGAAATCTAAGTGATTTCCATGAAATTCATGGAATATTTATCTAAAGACATACCGACATTTAACATGGATCTTATCAAAATACAGGAAAAAGAAGCAATGAGGGAGGGGAGATTGTGAGGGATAGGGGGAGCTACGATACGAAGAATGGGAGAGAATGTATGTGCTCCTGTGTGATCTTAATTAGTCATTTCAATAAACCAATGTTCCTTTCTAAGGTTTCAATTCCACAAATGAGATAAAATGAGTAAAGTTTCCTGATTTTGTTCATTTTGACTCCTGAAAAGTAATCTTTTTATGTAATTATTTGTTTTCTTGCAACTCATAGATGACACACAATGTTAGGCAATGAATCTGATATGGTAAATAACAAATCCATCAAATATGATAAGCACTCAAGTAACAAGTGTTATCATCAAAATAGCAAAAACCTTCAAAAGGAAATAATGGTTGCTCTTGAGGAAATGTCTTCAAAACAGACGATCACACAGAAGACAAATGCCAGATTATGTAGATTGATAGGTGAGGCTTTTTTTTACACTAAGCCACTTCCAAATTTGTAAATAATACAACATGATAATAAATAAGCAAAGATGTAACACCCAGAATTGGTACCTGGTGATTGATTAGATAAAGATGTATTTTCAGAAGTGACATAGCAATGACAACAAGTAATGATGTATTTGCAACAGTTTACGAATGAAACAACTGATTAGATAAAATATATGGACTTCACATTATGATGAGTATAAAGCACACCTTGGGAAGGCATCAAAGAACCAGGTCCTCTTGGTTTCTGGGAAAGCAACCCTCATACCAGACATCAGGGGTGAGTGAAGGACGACAGCACCAACTTCATATCTGGAAGCTAGGTCGACTGTTGGTACAGTTCCTATACTCTGGCCATACAGGATTACATTCTGGGGATTTATTCCATATCTTGTCCGCAGTGCCTGCCAAGCTGCATCTATGTCTGCATAGAGATTTTTTTCTGAAGGTTTTCCTGAGCTTACACCATAGCCAGAATAGTCAAAGCTGAATATATTGCAATTGATTCTTGAGCCAAGTCCAATGTAAAAGCTACTCATCTGTCCAAGATCAACAGCATTTCCATGGCTGAACAGAATGGTGAAGCGTGCGTTCGGTGAACATCTAGCGAACATACATGAGATTTGGTTTCCTCTTGCGGTTCGTGTCATGAAGACTTCAATGCAGTCTAGTTCTCTCTGTGTATACTGCCATTCCGCCCGATCCTTGAGATGTAGGCTGTATCTGGACCCTGCTTCGTCGGAAACCAAGGAATAAGTCGGTTCCGGAGGAAGGAATGCCAGTTTAGCTGCAATTCGGGATGGACATGGCGGACAACAGAAAAGACAACAAAGCTCACTGAGAGACAAGCCGTTCATGATGGAAGAATCGTGGGAAACTGAGGGTGAAGGAAGGAAGTAAGCTGAAATGAAATGTTCTACACAACCCTGATAGTTTCAACCATGTAGATATGTCCTTGTCCTGACTTCTCTATCGAAAACATTAGACAATATTGTTTGTTCTGTCGGAAAACATTTACGACTCCTGCTGGTGACGTCATGCACAAAATCGTCTTCCGGAAAGATTGTAGGATCGGTCAAATTACATCAAATATTTTTGGTTTATTATCAATGTACTACAAAGCAAAAAATATGCCTTTGGTTATAAAAATGATGGATTTGCTACTGGTGACATGTCGGTATTTACTCTTGTCTCCGTACCTAGTCAGCCCTCCAACACTTCCGTTTCAAGTCGTGCTTCCGGTTATCTTTCACCACATGTTGCAAGGTGGTCGTTTGTGTTGATGTTTTCTGTAGTACATGTAGACGTTGTGGCGTAAATATTTTTACTCTTTTACTACACTGTAGGGGCCTAACTGTGTAACTTCTGCATTAGCGTTCCCACTTTATACTCAGCAGTCAACATTTCGGTGTGGGACCTAATAGGTAAGTTCATGATATGGGAAAACAAACATTAATGTTTGTTTATTTTCGGTCCCTCTTTTCAATTCATGAGGCCCAATTCAGGTATCACTGTACCCTGTCAGTATGTCGTGTCTGGTGAACATTCATACTCTTTTATTTCATGACTGACACCGAATATTAAACGACAAAGATACATTTTGTAATAATTACATGTAGTTTCTCACTTATTCCTGAGTCTGCCCAAAATGTTTGGGTACAAATCTCGGAAAGATTTCCACCCGTAACCCCCGGTGTTTTTTTTAATCATTCAATCCCCAATGCCTAAGAACAGATGGTTTTTATTTTAAAAAACCCATTAACACTAACCATGCTATTATTGCTAACCTTTACCCCAACCCTAAACTTAAAACCCTAAAACGTCCAAATAATCTTGACAAATAGAATACATTTCAAGCGGGGTTTACAGGCGGAACTCTTACCCAAATCTCTGTGGGTACACATCTCCATTGGTAGAGATTGTCCAGTTCCCCAGGGTATGATATCAATTTGTTTTCTAGGGCATTGTTAGACTTTTATCCAAAATGCCCAGCAAGTATATATATTTTTAAAAATATCCATAACGGTATAATAAAATGTTCCATTAAATCCTGCTAGATCTTGAACATGTCTCAATGACATTTGTCTCCAGCAAAATCACTGACTGTGTGTTTTTGATACTTTATAAATCAACTGCTTGCTCAAGATTTTCACAAGTCCTGGACTGTCAGACAGGGTTTACTCTCTGGAAGGAAATGGGTGTTCTACAGGAATTTCTTTGATTACGACCAGAATTTTTAATTATGGTGTTTAAAGGGGTACTGATCTAGAACAATTCTCCAGGACTGGTTGCGCCTTTTTCAAAACAAGTCCAAACATTTTGAAAATGGAAGTCAATGTATTCCTTTTTCTTTATTTATTGGACCTGTGAAGATGCATCTTAGAATTGATCTTCAGTAACCCATGCTTGTCGTAAGATGCGACTATTGAGATCAGGTGATCAGGCTCGCTGCCATGGTTGACACATGTTATCGTATCCCAATTGCGTACATCGATGCTCATGCTCTTGATCACTAGACTGTCTGGTCAAGACTCGATTATTTACAGACTGCCGCCATATAGCTGGAATATAGCAGTATAAAGCTAAACTCACTCACTCTATATATATTGGTTTACAATCGGTTTACAATCCTAACCTTACTAGTTTATAATTATGTTTTTTTGTCCACGTGAAATTTAACAACTCCCTTGTTGTCATCCATGTTTGGTGGGATAAACCTACACCTGTTTTTATCATCATTCACTTGGTCAGTTAATGAATTCATAACAGACATAACTGGTGGTAGCACCACTCAGATTACCTGGCAAAAGTTCCCATTTGGCATATCTCATGTCTGGGCTAATTACTCAACCTTACAAATTCATGTCTGATGTGGCAAATGTGTTACATGTTATGTAACATGCATGTGGAAGCACAATTAGAATTAATAGTTGAAGCTTAGATGCAACCCAAAAAAGAAACATAATTAAAACACAATTATCATTTATTCATGACATATAATATACATTGCTGATTATGAAAAAACAAATAAACAAAATTATAAGCGTACAATCGCAAATCAAAAGTGCATTATTTTGTACTTGGGTTTACTTCCCTTGAAACTAAGCACCCGGGATACCGAACCCAGTCAGTGCAGGTGGGCGTGCACTTAAGTGTAACAAAGACTTTCATTGGCTGGTTCATTTGCCGATACACTCAGGGCTCTTTGTGTGTGTATAGAGATGTTGGGTTTTGTAAATACACTGTGTATTGCATATTGTCATTAGCAGACAAGCAGGCAGACACATAGGTGTCAATAAAACAGACATTGAGATTTGTCTGTGACAGAGGCATATCTATATCACAGTTAGAAATTCTGACAAGGCTAAATAATGACGGTGCTTTTAAGTATCGAACTGAGAAAGTGACTCTGTAAGAAGAACGTGTGGTGAAATAGTCAAATGAGATTATATGTACAGTTAAATCGGTAATCTACTGTCATAACATATAAAAAGCTCACGCCTGTGAAATATCAACAAAAGTCAAAACATTAGAAAAAAAGCTCACATTAAAGCCTACTCCAAGTACTCACCGCCAGCGAAGGTTTTCCATCTTGAAATGTCGAATGCTTCACTGGTTGACAGATAGCTGAGTAGATCTAGATCCTTAACAAGGTTCTTAAATGTAACAAGTAGATTATTTACTATTTGTTGTTTGTGTACACAACCAAGATTAGAGTACTCCTGCTCATGACCTTATAATCTGGGAATCCCCGCTTCAAGCTGCGCGTACCTATTCACTGTGCATGAAACCACTTTTCACCCCAGCTGGGGTAAATTATGTGAATCATTTGAACTCCGATTTTGTGGGGGGTTTTATCATCTCGTTATTTCTCAACTTTATAAGTTGAATTTGCTTTTTTGATAATTTGTTACTGTAAGTCCATAGCGAAAGGTATCAGAATCTACAAAATTGTGTTTTGCGTTGCATGTAAGCTTTAAGCTAAGATTGATCAAAGGATTACCAGATAATATCTTGATTGATTAATCACTGTTATCTTGCACATTGGATTTGTCCAAAGTTAGTGTTTATATATGTATGTAGGACTAAACAAATAAATGGGATGTAAATCAGATCAGTCCATCAATGCATCAGGAATCCAAAACTACTACTTAATTAAAACCAGACTAGAACCATCATGGATATTTTCAAATTATGGCATCTGGTCGGCATCCACCTCTTTTTTGTCTGTTAAGATATATCGAAGAAATTAATTAACATTAATGTGTATATGAGGTGCTCATGCCAGGAAAACGTCTCACGGCAGCTAGTGAGACCAGGTAGCAATGGTAGACAAACAGGTTGAGGCCATAGATCAGAGCACCTTTAAGTAATCAACAAAATTGGTTTTAGAAAGCTGTCATCTGATTGATGAAGAATCCATGCATTGTTCATTTTTATTGTGGGTTCATCAGACCTGTCAGGTTTGTCAGATCTTGAAGGAGGATTGTACTAAATCGGAGTGAAAGATTATATTTTATTTATAGTGGCAATTTTTTTATCTGTCCTACAAATTCAATATCTGCAACACAAATAACAATGAAAATATATTTGTCGTGTGGGTTTATTCCAGCACTCGTATGTTCTAAATGTCAATGTAGAAATTTCAATTTATCCTTATCAAACGTTAACAAATTTCCATTTATGTCTGTAGAGAATCTTTCTACACATATATATTCGTATATAATGGTATATTCTGCAAGACCCTTCTTCATACTTTGTCACAGAATAGGAGGAATCATTATAATGGGTGATATCATCATCAGTAAATGTCTTAAGGGTTTTGAAGCATCTAGCATCAGACTGTGAATTGTTTTCTGTTCAAATGCTCAAGGGTATTTATGTGTTGTATTTTTGTTTTCTCTCTTTTCAGACTGAGTGTAGAAGGAAAGCATGAGTAGCCAAAAAGGAAATGTGAACAGATCTCGCAAGCAGAAGCATCAAAATACATCTGTCTTCAGAAATGATATGTACAACAAATCCAAGAAGGTGGCAAGCCTCAATGAAACAAAACTCCCAGGCTTGTGTCAACACTGCAGAGAAAAGATTGAGTGGAAAATAAAATATGCAAAATACAAACCACTCACTGTTCCCAAGAAATGGTTGGTGGTGCTTTGTTTTCCTGTTTGCCTCACCGTTAACCATTATCCATTGCCTATATTGCATTCTCTTTGCCCCTCTGATGTCTTGATCCTGTCATGCCTATGATCGTGTGGTCAAGTCCCAGGCTATTCTTCCAACTCAACGTTTATTGATTCATTGAAATATTGTTCCAAGTGGCGTAAAAGACACCTCAATTGTTTTTATATGAGTGTTTTATCATTTGTCATTTTCATGGTGACCTATAGGCTACAATGTGCCTTATGTTTTTAAATAAGACCATAGAAAATAGATTTTGGTTTGCCCTCCAAAACTTTATACAAGTATAAATATATAAATATTAAGGTGTAAATACATTGAGTTGTTTTATTTTAAATTAATCCCAAGTCAGTACTGCATTGTACCTCATGACATTCCACCGGAAAAAAGCGTAACACAGGAAAAGTGAGAAGTGTCCAGGTGACGGGTCAGTTAGGATTGTGTGTCAGACATGTACACAAACCAAATGTTTTCCTGCACAATACATGTTTTCTGTTGTAGTCAGGAAATAACAAGGCTGATAGTTTGTTTGTTGTTAAACATTCAGCAATAGTTTAGCTATGTGACAGCGGTCTGTAAATAATCAAGTCTGGTCCAGACAACCAGACAATCCAGTGATGGACATCATGGGCATGGAGCTACGCAACTGGACTCATGCATGAACCAAGTCAGCCTGTCTGAACACACAAACATGCTTGTCACTTCTTACGACAAGAATGGGTTGCTGAAAAGCAATTCTATACTGGATCTACCAGACCAACGAATTAACAGTATTATGAGTGAATGGGGTTATTTCTATAATTGCTTTGTATCTATGTTATTGTATGTAAATGTTGTATTTGACTTTCAGCATTAAATGCAGTGAGAAGACAGTGAAGAAAGCGTACTATAATATCTGTTTGCCCTGTGGACAAGCCCGAGAGATCTGCTGTAAATGTGGAGAGAAGAAGGACATTGTTGAACAGTAAGTTCACAAAGGTTGTCTCTACTCAGACTCATCAAAAAGAGTTCTTCAGGGAAACAATGTGAAGGAATACATGCCAATGTCACAGAATAGTTTAATTAAATAGGGTGTATCTCCAAAATATGACCCAAAGCTGTTTTTCATAGTGTCAGTATTTACGTTTGAAATACATGGACATACCGGGTGCTTGTAGCCAGTTCCCAAAGCACAGCTTAGACAGTAGCAACTCTCACACTGTTAGAGTTTGTAGTGCTGAAATCATATTGTTGTACCTGGGTGATAATGACAGGATAGCCTTTATATGCGGATCCAGAATCCTGTTTAGTTACATCTATCTAATTTGAGAATCTGGCAGTCCGTGTTGAAAATAACCCGTCCCGGGCGGTCTGGCAAGCAGTTATTTCGAACGCTGATCTATCCTTGTGACTGAAAAAACCACTCTTATCTACAGTTTTGGTAGAGTAAATCTATTTAAAACCTGAAAAGGTGAAGGTTTTTGACACAATGGCCTTGAATGAGACATTGACGCTATGGGGAGTGAACGTTACACTGGTTGTGCTGCAGCTCTTTACACCATTGGCTTGAAGGTTTTCAGGATTACTTATGTCAGTATAGGGAACAGAATTGGGCCATGGAAAGTTTAGCAATGGTTGTGATAAAAAGGGTATTGGTAATCTGATGATTTAGTACTATCCACTCATGCTATGGATCTGATCTGATATATTCCTCCAGTGTTGGATTTCAGTGTGGCCGACCACAAGTGCTTGTAACAGTTCGAGAACACGACAATACTCTAGTTGTTAATGATGTTGTCTTGGATGAAGGATGCAGTATCTGCTGCTGATGCCGGTGCTCCATTGTGTTTTTCCAGACCTGGGTTGAGCGCAGAGCAGCAGGCAGCTGAAGACAGTCGACTCGAACAAGAGGTCAAGTATCTCACGGAGAGGCAGAGACGTAAGTTGCTGCAGGATCACACACTCAGACATTGTGGAGACACAGTTGCCAGCATGTCCACATGTAGGGGCATACATGTAGACCAGCACTTACATGTGTCTTGATGCATGGATACATATATTTCAGTGTGTTTATTGTTTGTTGCAGGATATCCTTTTTTTAGCTTCTGTTCAGGTCACCAATTTTATAGGATATCCCCCAAAGACATGGGAGACATCTGTCAAAACACCACAATCTATAAAATACTCAACTGAAAGTTTGTTATTGCACTCTCACCAAACCTGTTATATCCTCCTAAGGGCAGGGTGCAAAAGTTTTGATCAAGCTCAGTCAATAATCAAGGTTAACATTAGGGCTGTAACGAATACACTATGTTGCGAATATGATACGTATCACAAATATTGGGTAACGAATACGAATAATTATTCACGAATACAATATTGTAGTTAAGTGATTGATGCACAATATTGATTGCCCATGGTAACAGTGTCAATTTATCACAGCAATAACCAGTCATCTCATGACACTCAAATTTGGTATGTAATAGTTATAGATGACAGTACCATGTGCGACCTTGGCAAACTAACATGACTTGCACTACTACAAGGCTAGTACATAATGCATTCTTGCATATCTCATATTGAAAAAGGACATAAGGGTTCAAGTAAAACACACTCCATTAAAAAATTGTAAATATTCATGAATATTCGGTTGGATGTATGTAGACTGACTGAGTTTGGTTTTACGCCGCTTTTAGCAATATTCCAGCAACATTACGGCGGGGTACATCAGAAATGGGCTTCACACATTGTACCCATGTGGGGATTCGAACCCGGGTCTTCGGCGTGGCGAGCCAACGCTTTAACCATTAGGCTACCCACCGCCCCTGGATGTATGTAGAAGGTCAAGGTCATTGATAAGACTCTGAAAAGTGTTCATTATTGGTTACTTTTGAACTTCTACAAATTTAATTCCCATTGAAGCATCATCATTATGCTTTGTACATCACAGGATCATTCTTTCGTCTACAAGCACAGGGGAAGTCGTCAGCCGACTTTGTGGAGAAATGCAGGGAAGGTCAGGACAGTGATGATGACCCTGATGAGGACAATGTTGATGATCCATCCGACGAAAGTGTTGGATGTGATGATAGTGATGACGACCAGGCAGAAGGTAGAACAATTCCGACAGACAATGCAAACCCACCTGGCAGGAATATCCAATCAGATGCAAAATTGGAACCATGACCTTGAGAAGGGAATAATGACTTGACTTGTAAATAAACCGTGTATATTTATGGCCGGTTTTTGTTGTTCTGTATTGACCTAGATGTTTCTAAGTAATGAAGTCGCGGAGATCCAAGCTGATAATAATCATTATATAACAAATATATATTTTCTGAAAAAAATCAGAAATCCAGTGTGACCCACCATATTAGCAGCGAAGTGAATATCTTTAGTGAATTGGTTTTATTTATATGTTGAAGCAGAAGTAACCTCCCATTATCCATCACTCACTGAAAGTACCCACTGCCAAATTGAAGCAAATCGCCCGTTTACTGACGAACACATATCTGTCTATTGTTTAAACTTTACATGTTAGTCTCAATTATCTCTGCAGAGTTGTGTCCCTTAGTGGCTGGTCTGTCGGCTCTGTGAGTGAGTATAGTTTTACGCCACACTCATCAATATTCCAGCAAAAATAATCGAGTCTGGACCAGACAATCCAGTGATCAACAGCATGAGTATCGATCTGCGCAATTGGGAATCAATGACATGTCAACCAAGTCAGTGAGCCTGACCACCCGATCCCATTAGTCGCTTTACGACAAGCATGGGTTACTGAAGGCACATTCTAACACGGATCTTCACGGGTGCTGTCGGCTCTGTAAACATACCTCTTTCCCCGCCCATATACAGGTTTTATATCATACAGGTTTTATCTCATGAGGACAACACACTGAAATACATTTTAAAGTAGAGTTAAACCAAACATACTCCATCTGATATACAACCACCCAGTCAGTGTGTTCCCTGCCAGCAGGTCCATGGTCGGTTATCACTAAATGTGTCGCAACCATCCTCCAGGTCAATATGCCTGCACCCTCTCAGTGTACATGAACGCAAATCAAAGACTTTATGTAAAATATTTTATTATTGTGTATATTTACAATCAGTAACACAACGTACACCTGTATTTAAGTTCTTATTGTTGACTAGGCTGTTCAGTTTAGGTAACACTGGCATGGCTTTGTTGCAAAATTTGAGTTAAAAACCCTAACTGTTTCAAAAGCCATGGAATAATATTTATGAAAATGATAGCTAAAATCATTTGTCCCTCAACGAAAACCTGACAGCACTACCACAGATTGTCAGTGTTGTCTTGTTAGGTAATTATAGCTAAAACATCTGTTTTGCCAATATGACGACCGAAAGTCCAGACCTTTCTATGCCTTCAAACATCATCTCACAGAGCAGCAATAAAAACACGTGTATACATTTGAAGCCATACTGCTCAACTTTAGAAATTCACAGACTTGATGTCTGGATGGGAACCAAATGTCTCCATGTCAAAATGTATCTGGATGTGCCAGGACAGACTCTATATCTCACTACAATTTGATCTATATATTCAGTATTAAACATTTCACAAAGAAGTGGCCAATGTGGTCACAGCTCCAGATAAGTACTTCTAGTAATGAATGGAAAACATATTTTAACATAACAAGACACCCAAAAATAACTGATTGGATTTGTAACATTAAAGCAGTTTCCATTTCCTACAATAGCTGTGATAAAATTTCAAAGTTTCTTCATTTCTGCAAATTGTAAAACAGTGTAGTCCAAAGTGTGGATAAAAATCTCGTATTTTTGTAATTTCATTACAACTTACATAGCCTTTTCAGAACAGAAATAAAATTTATTTCTCCAAATACACAAGATGTGGAATAGTGTGTTTTACTCAACTGCTCAATGGCAATATCTCACCTACCCACCAACTTTTACTATCATTAATTTATTGCCATCAAGTTTTCACACACTCTCATAATGACATACTTCACTTTCAAACATAGAGTAGGAACTGATACCATTTCTACTCTGTCACTACTGAGAGCATTGATTACATGAACTATCGCTTCCTACCATTGGTTTTTGAACAAACAGTAAAATATTTTCACATATTTTAGTAGTATTCAGTTACTACTTATTCTGTTTTATTCTTTGTTTGCTCTGGCATTTGACACAAACTCTCAGCTTTGCAATATTGTTTCTTTATTAAATCATCTTATGACAAAATATTTGTCACATCTGTGTGCATCACTTCATTCTTTGCTGTAGTCATCCTGTTGGTTTCTGTTGGGCGCTGCCTTACTACAAGTCTGCACAACAGTCACTCATCATTCTGATGTCATATCATATGGACCCTTCTAGTTTTCTGCACAAATATACTGACAAACAGTAGGAACTGCAGAAATCTCTTGTGTATAATCATTTCTTTCTGTCATATTATCCATAACTCCAGTTTGAGTCCGTCATAATATCCTGAAACATGACTTGGAGCAGTCATCCTGCCATTCAGGAACAGTTTGCGTCCATGGAGTCAAATTTGAATTTCACCATATCATCCTGGTATAGCACTAGAAGTCTTAGTAATGCCACGCTAAGCACAGGTTGATACTAACATAGTCTGAAAACAGAGTCACACAGCTCATAGCCGGAATGCTGACCTTATGTGTTCATTGTTGCAGCACTCGTATATTTCTGTAACACATGTCCAGCTCTCTAAAGGAGTCCAGGACACAGTCACACACTTCTCTTAAACAAAACTTAAATAATTAACGTCATCAGGCCAACTATTTCCTTGCATGGTGCTGACAAGTGTCTTTATGGAACACGACTGAAATATATTATCAAAATCCGTTTCAAATGGCTTCCATCTGCGGATCTAGATGCTGTTTTCCTCACAACCACTGTTCAGACGTGCTGGCAGAAATGTCCATGAGTTTCCAGGCTGCACGAGGATTGATTTCTTCTTGGTCGCGACACAATGCCCAGACATATAGAATTCGCATGATCTTGTCCTGAAATATACACAACATTCTATGACACAAAAGTTGTTGCAGCTATTCTCCAGCAGCATTACCACTGATAACTAGTGAGTGAGTGAGTTTGGTTTTACGCTGCTTTTAGCAATATTCCAGCAACAATATCACGGCGCAGGACACTAGAAATTGCAAATTTGAATATAAATTGTATATTTATATACTTATCCTATCTCACGGTATGCACTTCTCTCTCTTGATTCGACACTGAGTGGAACGATGTAAACTTTTTCCCCTAGGCCTCTCTTGTCCATCCGCCCAAGCACTCCATGCTACCCTCATTATAAGACAGCTTCCTAGCTCTCATGCAAAGCATGTGGCATGTACCACTAGCTGCCCACATGACTATCATCATTCTCATTCTTGGAGCCACTGGATAATATCCCTCTTGGAGAATCTGCATAGCGGGGAGGATGGGCGGGAATCCGTCGCGTGAGATAGGATAAGTATATAAATATACAATTTATATTAAAAGTTTTCAAATTTTTAAACTTATCCTATCTCACGGTATGCACATATCCCACGGTCGGACGGCGGGATGCAGATACCCTGTGTCTTGACAGTGCGAACAGCAGGAACTGTGTAGACTGGAAACAACCGTAGATAGCGATGCACAAGGTAGGCCTGTTATGCATGCACGCAACTCCTATGCTTGTGCTGAATTCTCTTGAACTCCTTGGCTTACTCAGCACAATGTCTCCCAGAGTAGTAGACAGGATGAGAGTCCGGGACCAGGGTAATCTAAGGCTTCATTTAATAGATAAAGCCTTAGTTGGACCCTTACCATTACCATCTACTATAGAGCTTTATTTCATAAAATAAGACTTTACAGAAGCGGTGGGATCTGAACTCCACATGCACAGCTTGGGTAGACTATACATAATGGAGTCGACTGAGCTACAGCGGACTTAGCTGAAGTAGGTCAGTTTAACAGATTAGATCATGCGCACCCACATCACGTGACCGCGTTGTCTGGAATCAATAATTCCTGTCTGGCCCATCCTCAAGTAGTACAAGGTTCATTTTATCTATGTCCACGCGCTATGTCACGTTGGCCTCGATGAAACAGTTTAACGTGAATCGCCTAGGATCTCTTTGGTGTTGGTAATAAAGGCTTGCTGGGCTTTTTGTACCCCCTGTTCTATGTACTTTTTTTCTCATCCTCAATTGATAGTAGACTTTTACGAGACTTGGACCCGGATCTCTTGTTTCATTTTGTCATATTTTGTGAGTTCAGAGGATTGAGCGAAACTCCTCCTCGAGATTTTGTTGTCAGTGAGTGCATTGAAATAAGATCGCTTACCGTGTTCAACTTTGCTTCAGCTAGAATTCCCTGATCTCATCGTGTTTCAATGCTTTACGATGCAGTCTGGGGATACAAATTTAAATACCAATCCAGCCAACCCTGACACCCCAGCCGTTATTTCAATGCCCAGCACTATGGGTGAAACCCACGATGGTGGTCAACAACCCCACACCTACTGCCCCTAACCCCATACTGGTAGCCATAAGGGTGGTATCAACCCCATCCACAGCATTGAAAGCTCTATGGTACTTCTTGTACAATGCTGCCCGTGTGTCGCGGTCTTGTTGTAGTTGGCGTTTTACGTCACATAATTGTTTCAAAGCGAAACCGTCACGGCGGTTTCCAAGGTCTTAGCTACTTCCTCTACACTGGGTACAGTCCCATCCTATAATATATATTACTAAAGATATTTTAATTGGGTTTTCAGTTAATAACGATCTAGTTTCTGGTACTAGTTCAGGGATATAGTTCAACCCATAATGTATTTTAATTGGGTTTTATTTAACCTTCGATTAATGTACTTAAAGCCGATAATACTTAGATCAAGCGTGCGTGTAAAAAGCGGGGTCTTAGCTCGCCCATTAAGGAGGCGAACCCCATCAAGACTTCTTGGTACAGAATTCGTTTCCGATACCTTAATAATAAGACAGCGTTGGTTACTAGCCCTGTCTTCCCACCATTATCAACATATCATCTATAATGTTCGACGAGTCCCAGGAAAGCGAGGCATCTCGAGATAGACTTCTATTATGAATGTGAAGTTTTCCGCTACATTTCTAAAGACCTCTTGGTGATCAAGTAAGCTGATTGATGTCTTCACTCTCTCCTTGGAAGTTACCATGTTGCCCGAGTGGTTTGGTATTGGTGCGATATATATATTATGAGATTCAGAAACTAACTCTCCTGCTGCTAATATAATTTTGGCGGTCGCGGAGCGAGCGGCTCCTATAATTATGCCGTTGTTCTTAATCTCGGAGATAGTACCATCTTGTCTCAAGGTGATATAAGGTCGCGGTGAGGGTTAAGTTGATTAACCATTCAGGCTCTTTAAAATCTGATAGCGACACCCGCCTATACCGTTGTCTTTGAAGTGCAGGATGTATAAGGTGTCTTCCTCACCAGGCTGATCGAATCCCTCCGTGTCCCCTAAGATGCGTTAATGCGTAGTGTTGGGGTGAATCCAAGACATTGCTATATTATTACGATATAATTTCCAACTGGTTTTCTGATAATAATTCAGGGGTGCACTTCACCCCATGAAGTGTATGTTGTCGGGTAGGAAGATCTTGGTTAGTGATATAGTGTCTTCCACGACCACGGTGACACCCTGCAGACTGGTTTTGGAGTCGACACCCACCCATGCGTAAGCGTTGCAAGCGTGATACTGTTGTTGTTTCCCCACGGAGTTTGACCCCTTCCGATCTCTACATCATCCCGCGATGGTTCCCTAGGTAGACTTGGATGACCAGTGTTGAGTTAAGCGGTAGACTCTCAGGATCCTGACCACACCTTGAATTCAGACACCAACTGCAATACCACGTTTTGCATCCCGCTTTACTCGATAGCATGTGGGCTGCCATACTGGCGAGTGGGCTGATGACTTCGCTTCGTCTCTGAGTCGGGATGTAAGCCACGAGCAGGGTTCCGTTGTTCCGCGACTTTGTTTAGGTGGTTGTCTTTGTTATCCGTGAAACCGCGTAGGGGAGCCGAGCCTAATATTGAGAAACCAGTCGACTTTACCGGTAATAACACCCACTTGTCATCATCGGTGAAAGCGGCGTATATGGTTTGTTTGAGGCTGACGGTAGTGCTCTCAACATCGGTTAAGTCGAACAGTTTGCCCCGTATGGGTATATCATCCAGTTATCATCCCGGTGGTGACAAGGGTGTACTTAGTGTTGACTACGCTCTCTTGAGGTATCTACTATATCACTTAGGTTGCTAGTACCACGGAAACTTCAGCGTTTGTAAATGCTGTTTTTAAGTTGCAAAGTATTACACTTTACCATCTACTCGAGGGTCGTCGAATCCGGCGTGTGTCCCGAGATCGGAGATCCCCACATTGGTGCATTTTTCAACTTCATTCCGGGACCTTGTCGCTGGTCATTTTATGTGCAGCGTTACGCTGAGGTATCCTATATTCCGCGAGATTATGATTTATATCTAACACCGATATTATCAGCTCAGGGATGTTACCCTGGGTTAACCTCTTATATTGCCACGTTGAAAGCGACTTCGGTTCTGCCGTCGTTGTATTTCTCGTTTTAACCGGCACTGCTCTAAGTATAGTTGAAGGGTGGCCTCCTTGAATATTGTCCGTTGTGCTAACCTGGTTGAGATGAATGCACAGCTCGATGCGGTACTAGGTCGGGTAACCGTTGCCTGTGGCTGGTAGTCGTTGGTTTTATCTCTTCAGGCTGCATACCGAGTGTGTCCTAGCCAGTGGTCGACCCGAGCCTCAAGGAGTTTCTTCCGTTGTTGATTAACACCACTGTACCGTTTGAGTCGTTCATCTTGAGTTAGGCTCCCAATGGTTTGAATACCTCATCGGCTTAGAGAGCTGCGCTGTAGTAACCATCAATTATCTTGTTGCTAAGCGCCACCTACGAACAGTTTATTGTTGCTAAGCGTTGATGTTAGTCCATCGTGGTAGGTAGGTTATATCGCACAGTGCTATTTGAGTTGACCCGGCGTGTTATCGATCAGCGTCTCGTCGTCAGCTGAGCGGCCTCGCCGCTCGTTATTCCTGGGAAGTGTTATGTACATGTTATATAAACTCATTATATAATAGTTTTAAAACATGAAGATGCGTGGTCGCTGATGGATTGTATTTCGGCCCAGTTCATAGATGTATTCGATAAGTATAAGTTTTCGGTGACTAGCGTTAAGACAGTGCAGCTTGGTTCAACAACCCGATGCAGTTCTGGCAGAATCAACTCAACCGCCGTGTGTAATTGCGCTACAGCGCGGGTGTGGTGTATCCGACACTTTCGGCGTGGACGCTGAGTCAGTCTGTGTTCACGTTTCCGCGTGTACTACCAGGTCAAGGCGTATCCTCAAAGAGATCAGCGCCCGCTCTCACAGGAAAAAGCGTGGAATGCAGTAAACAACCAATACGATAGGCGGGCCCTCTGAGCGTATTTTACCTTGAATTGAATCGACACTAAAAGCGGATTGGCGTTTGCGGGACGAACCACAGTTAGGTATTCCTATCGTTCACAACATGCCTCTAGTGGAAGCCAGCGAGAAGTTGAAAGAATGGGGTGGTGAAGCGTATCACGAATATCACAACAAGCGAGTGGGATGACCGTTACATGGCATTCGGCGACAGCAAGGATTACCGAGTTTGGAGGTTCGAGCAGAGGGTGACTGGAAAAATTCATGTTGGAATCGAAAGGGTATACTGCGTGCGGCACGAGCGGCTTGAATGACTCGATTGAGCGTGCGTGTAGGCACTGTTAGATTAGCGCCAGGCGCAAAGCAGCGTTCAATATACTAGGTAAAGGGACTGCTTACGGCGCTCAGAAACAGTTAAGTTGTCAATGTTGAGGATGCTATCAATGCTCCAGTTGATCTCGAGTGCCATCAAACGCTACCAAGGCGTGTTGGAATATGCCAGGTCGAGAAAGTCGACTTCGTGTTCGATGTGGGACTGTACATGGCTCCGGCGATA